AAAAAACAATTTTGTTCCTACAAAGACGCTTAGTTCTGTTGTTACACTTTTCATCCTTTCCAATAACCACACAAAGGTTAGTATTCTTGTGTTGATAATAACTGTAGTTGATATTTCCTCTCTTTTGTTCTAAACAGTTCCTTAAATTAAACTGTAAAAATAAGAAGTAATGGCTAATAAGTCCATAAGACGTGGACCAATTAACATTTAAGTAGTATTGAAAGTGAACTATATAATTACATGTATACACAATATAATGTATACGTACATAGGTTTGTAATTTTGCTGAGTTTTTTACTGAAAAAGCTAACTGAGGCTGAGTTTTGACCAGGTATACACTTCTTTTGTGTACCTCCTCCTGACTCAAAAGTTGAATTAGTGTTCTAAGACACTTATATTTTTGGCTTTTTTCATATATCTGATATATCTGCGCATGACCTTCATGTAAACCTACCTTGACAACATTGCTTTCTTGGTAAGTGACAAAAGTGATACCATCCATTGATAACTGAACCTTGTAGTTTGTTGTCCACTCGTCTACACCATTGTCTCCTTGGGTAGCTACAGCACAGATGACGTACTCATACAGCAGGTCAATTTGTAAGTAGTCAGCAGGATTGGTCGTAGTCTTGGGTCCCCAACCCCCATTTGTTCTATTCAGTCGACCAAAAGAGGGTCTATAACTATTGCTAAAAGACGATGAGGCAGAGAAGCTGCTGTCTGGAATTGTACCATTAAAGGCCAAACCAATGGCTGCCGATTTACAGGCTGCAAGGTAATTACTTAAACTCAGCCTTCATAGTTTTATGCAAATTTTAAACATCGTAGCGCCATTGCTTAAAGTTGGCATGATCACAAACACTTTACGAACTAGTTCTGATAAACCAGAAGAAATACGAGAGTGCATTGATCACTGCGAGACATTGTACTTGCCCACTTAAAGGATGTGGTAAACCATGGGTGACCACACCATTCGAATGAACAAACCCAAGACTTGAGAGAGCTTTGGAAATACAAAATAAAATGGCGTTATCCTCAAGGAACACCACCCAGTAATTTCCTGTAAGCTCCGCCAGCAAACGTTGGAAATCATACACCAAGGATACAGGGAAACAGAAAAAATGTCTACTGAGAACAGGAGGTGATCTATTTTGGCCAGGTATATCAAGAGACACGGCAAAAGAAATGACCGAAAAACTGTGCCACGTGCGTACGGTTCTCCAAACACCAACCATAAGAAAAACTACAACCCCACAGCGTGCCCAGTTTCCCATGGCAGAAGCATGGATGGAATTTGCCAAACATGGGATACCAGAAGAAGAGAATTTGCTTTACTCTTCATCTACCTTGCAGCGGACGACTCCAGCGCTCGCAAACCATTAAGTGGAATGAAGCACATCTTCATCATCGACAAGACGTCCAGAAATAACAACGTAACAAGATATTATGAGCTACTAAAATTAGAAGTGTTTGGGAACTACTAAAGTTAGGAATTTTCTGACTAAGTGTTTTGAATTGTTTAGGTACGTTTGATTATCTTGAAATCCTTGTGCATGTCTAGTGCAAGACCAAACTTTTATTAACTTTTTCTAATTTTTATTTTTTTTTTTTTTACATTTTGAGTGATGTGTTCCTAGCCGTTATAATAGGGCTGAATTCTTGTACGATAGTCGTTATCACTAATCGTGTTTGGGTTTTTCTTTTACCTTGCTTAGTGTCCTCAAGGGAGAGTTTTGTTCAGGTTTTAGTTCTCGAAGATTGATTGTTTCTCAAATACGTTTTTATTCATTTGGATTGTCTTGTGATGTACTTTTTTCTCGGTTAACATTCTAAAGAAACCATCGAAAGTAGACTTATGAACTGTTTCACAGACTACATTTGCGACATACCATTTAGGCCTTTTAAGATTCTCATTGCATTACATTTAACTAATTAGTCTTTCTTGTTTGTGTATGTAGCCTTGCTGTTTATCACACCCATTAGACTTTTCAGGGTGGAGATGTAAACACATTCGATCTACGGTGTTACGCTTGCGCCGCGGGAAGCGTCAGCACATGCCATGTATATTTCAGAGCTGTTTTCGTTCCTTTATAAGTAAGATATAAGTAAAGAACGGGAAGAGGCTACGAGTATCTCTACACAGATTTTGATAATTAATTGAAATGATCAAACGAGTAACTTTAACAAAATCCGTAGATTAACTCTCACTTTAACTTAGTTGCCCGATACTTCATAGCCCTCAAGTTGCATTCTCTCTCTTATAAACATTACGACTGTTCACAAATTAAAGATACCCCGGTCAGATTTTTTGAAAGTTCATAATGAAGTATTAAGTACAACAANAATAATAATAATAATAATAATAATAATAATAATAATAATGATAATATAATAACAGAAAACTTGAAAAATGCATTTAAAAAGCTCCAAACTCACTTTGCTCTTGTTTTACTCCAAATACTTCTGTTCTCATACACACACCACCCTGGTGTGTTTGTGGCAGGAACCGTAAATATCTTGTTAATACTCTGTAAACAACATGCTTCACCTCTGAGTTCCTGTCAGCATTTCCTCTCAGAAACTTGAGGCAAACAAATAGTCATATGTCATCAATAACGTTTTTCCGAAAATTGAGAGAATAGCAGGTATAAAATAGAAACAGTGCAGATACCATTAAGATCAACAATTCTGAGGACAAGATTTCGATATCATTTTACCTGTAAGATATTCTATATGGTCAGACTTAATAATCCATGTTATATTAATTTTATAAATGTACACTGATTTGTTTTGAGCAGCTATGCCTCATACTGTATTTCCTATATACCTTGACTTGTCCACCTTCCTTGTAGTCTACCCAAGCTGTCCCATCTGTTGATATTTGAAGTGTGTAGTTCTTCACCCACTGATCTGTTTGAGAATTCCCTTGAGTAGACACAGCACAGATGATATGAAGTGACTTTAGATCAATCTGTAGGTATGGGTTAGTGTCAGTTGTTCCTGCACACCATGATGATCCTAATGTGTAGTTCAGTCGACCATGCTCGGCTGGAGTGTTGGCATTTTGTTCAGAAGAAGAGGTTATGTCACTATTTGGAATTGTCTCAGTTCCCAATCCAAGATCTAAATCAACGCATGCTCCTACAAAAAAAATTACATTTGCTTTATAACGTACTCATTATAATTATTGTAAATAGAGAAATGGGTTGGATGCATGTGAGAAGCACGTGGATGCCTTAAATCTCTTTATAAATTATCTCTGATAAAAGTTCATGTCAGATAGTTAACAACTATTTACGAGGTGGTGGTGGCTATTGTTAAACAGAAGAGTGAATTAACTCTTTTGTACCTGTAACAAAAACAGTATTTGGGGGCAAGTTACTCGGAGGTGAATAGCAAAGGATAGTCTGAGTTTTAGTATCCAATCAGTGCCCGCCTTCAACGCTATCCTCCATTTAGTATATACTGGTAACATATAGTGCTGGTCAGCCTCCTACAGGAGGCAATAGCCACAAAAATCTGTCGCGCTTGAAATGTCGTTTCTTTACAAGTTAAGCGAAAAGAAACCAAAGAAAAAGTTGGATCGTTCAGTGCGGCCATTTTGTTGCTGCATATTTTTCCCCGTTCCACAGTGTATTACCGTGGCATATTTGGCACGTTCTCATGACCTTATTAGGTAATATGACATTGTAGCAGAATAATAAATAATAATTGATCCACACCTTCATTAAGCATACAGTTCTTTAATGAAAAAAAGCAATAGTAAAAACAATCGACTCTCTTTGACCCTAGCCCTGTCTTAGTGAAATACCAGATTAATCTGAAACATTTTTAGAATTGATAGTGCAAGTAGAATGATATCCGAGGGTGCTTGGATATCATTTTGCCTGACACAAATATAATGGTTTCAGACTCTCTGTCTGTTTGCTGATAGAATACTTCAAAGTTTTGAATTAACTTTAGTAACCTTTTTCTTCATGTTCCGTTAACTGTCCCATTTGTTGTTAGATAATCTTATCATTAAGAAAATGCGAAACTCGGAGCAGCTCTTTTATCTTTTTGGTATTGATGCTGTCTGCATTGGCGATTAGGTTGTGCTGTAAGCGTAACTCTTAGGTTTCAGCACTCAAAACTGAAAGAGATGTTCAACAAATCCCGCCAGATGGAGAAATAATGATAGAATAAAACTAAACCTTATGATTAGATTTCTAATTAGAATAGAGGTAAACCTTAGCATTAGATTTCAAATGACACGGTGCTCACCTGTGGCAAGATGTACAAGTACAGCGAGAAAAGCTCTATGGAAACAAAGCTCGAGATTAATTTGCGACATGTTTCGTTTGAATATGTTGCGAAATACCGCACGATTGTTTAGTGTGATCGGTCATTCGAAACAGAAAGCTCGTCCGACAAAAGATGTTTTGGTTACCTCGCTATTCAAGCTCGTTTTTGCATAATTTGTAGTAAATTTCGAGTTTTCAATCAGATTAAGTTAATTTATAAATGATGATACAATTAGTTAAAGAATGCAACAAGGCCTGCTGGAGTACCTAAATAGCCTGGCAAATAATTTGCATGATAAAAGCGAACACAGGCTATTTTAGACTTTTGTGCAGTCCAGGTGTAAAGGATTTAATGACCTAAATGTCATGAAGCTAGAAAATGGCAACATGCTAACAAACGAAAGTGGCATCGCTGAGTGCATGAACGAATACTTTGCATCAGCTTTTACAAGTGAAAACTCTGAAAATTTTCCATGATTAGATCAAGTTATCAAAGATTTGGGCCTTAGCCTTCTACACTGTTCACCTAAGGATGTTAACAAGATCCTAAGCTAATTGAAACCTCATAAATCTCTTGGTCCGGATAACAGCCATACCATGATTTTCAAGAAATGCAGTGGAACTTTGGCCTCAACACTTAGCGACGTTTTTAATGCGTCCTTTACGTCGGGCATGCTGCGTTATGGCTGGAAATTGGCTGATATTACTCTTTACATAAGAAAGGTGCTAAGAAAGTCCGCAAGAACTACCGTCCTGTCTCGCTAACATTGGTGTAGTGTGTAAAATGATAGAGAGAAAGCATCGTATTCATTTCTGGACAACTAATAAGATTTTTATTCCAGAATAATCTGGATTTTTGAAAGGGAAATCTTGTTTGTCTCAACTACTATCTTGGTTTCACGATTGGGCCCGTGATAGAAACAAAGGATTGACAACTGACTTCATCTTTTTAGACCTTTTAAAAGCTTTCGACTCGATATCTCACGAACGCCTTATGACAAAGATGCACGCATATGGTATCCGAGATCCACTCTTGTCTTGGCTTAGTTGCTTCTTAGCAAATTGATACCAGCGAGTCGCTCTACGGGGACATTACTGTTCATGGACCTCCGTTTTGTTCGGTGTACCCAAGGGAACTGTGTTGGGACCTATTTTATTTCTCATTTATATTAATGATATCTCAAGAAACATTTCATCACACACAAAACTCTTTGCAGATGACATGAAGGTGTACAGGGTATTAAGAGATACAAAGGAAGATGTGGATGAGCTTCAGAAAGATCTTGCTCGCTTGTAATCTTGGAGCAATGACTGCAAAATTAAATTTAACACCTTAAGCATTTTTACGTTCGTAGGTGATTTTCGACCTTTAAGAGTTAACCACTGTTTTAAACTTAGTTCTGCATCCGCAAGTTACGTATAATTGATGCATGGGATAGTTTACCAAAAGAAACTGCCGAGGCGAGGCGAATTATTTGAACATTTTTAAGAATAGACGCAAATATCGTCTTATGAGTGTTTTACGCGAACATTAAGTTATCTATTTCTATCTTTAAATCAGAGGTAAAGTTTTTTAACTATTTTTAAGAGGAGATAAACCAGAAAGGAATAACCTCTTTTATCTCTTTTTCCCTTCTTAATGGGATCGTGAATAAACAGTTACTATTATTATTATTATCATTATTTATTATTATTATTATTATTATTATCATAGTTCTTTGCAGAATTTAAAGTTGTTACACAAATGTGCGCGTCTATTTGTTCGCCAGTTGAATTTCACCCTTTCATGTTTTGGATGTAACAATAACAATTTAAATGCCCGTTAATGTAAAATACAAGATAACCGGGAGTAAGGTCATGACGATAAAAAAAACTAGACCTAACTGAGGCCTTGTCAATACGGTCCTTTAAGCCTGGTTTTTAGCAGTGACGCAACCACAAGCGCAAGCACAAACGCAAGCATATGGTAATTATGTCAAGTGGAAACGAACATCGACAGGCATAAACACAAGTATCTTAACATGTTAACTAGTCACAAGGCTTTGTTGATCTCGACTCGGCCAATCTGGCGGCAGACACTTCGAGTTCTGTCGTTTCTTCTACTCTTACGACGAAGAAAGCGGAAGTGGTTGTAAAATAGTATAACAAAATGCTTTTGGGTTAGCAATATTTTTAAAGAAATGAGAAGCCAAGGTAATTTTTTCTTGTCAACTTGAGTCTAAGCTTGTGCTCTTTTTTTTCCTTTAGTCTATACACCCCTTGTCATACGAGACTCGATAGTTGCGAGCAACTTCGGAAAACTTTTCATCAAATTCTACAGAAACGACCTCCGCCACATTGTTGAAATCCTCAGAAGTGGGGAAAACTGTAACGAGAGCTATAATTGGCCAGACATAGCAAAATGTCATAGATCTCCTTGTGCGTGTACAGTATCTTGCTTTCACTCGGGATACGCGAACGCAAGCTTAAGCATAAGAACAAGAAGAAGGAAAATTTTTTATCCTTGTGCTGTGCTTGCGCTTATGTTTGTGCTTGTGTCGAGACCGAAATAAGAGCTGTTATGCTTGCGAAAATCAGGCTTTATTGGCGAGTCAATCCATTTAAGAGGACTACTAAGCAGTGGTGACAAAATTGAAACTTTCGGTAATTGTTAATACCACTAAATTCGGTTGTGGTGTTCTGCTAAGGAAACATGACAGATTTACGGATTGTGTGTTCCACTTTACACGACTTTCTTCAGCTGTTCCCTCCAAAGTTACCAGCTGATAAGGTAAGAAATGTCCTCTTTTCAAATTTCTTTAGGGAAAATTTCATTTTAAAAGTCATCATGTCATGACAGTTTTCCAAAGCGAATTTTTTACGGTTTCTTCTATTAGATATGAGCTTCAATGTATTCTTGTTTGCTTACCTCGTGCCTTCCAACACAATCTCATACGAAATTTAGAATTGTACTTCAGCGGTTCTTCTAAAATTTTGGCTGTTTGTGCTAAATTGAGTCTTCTCTCTCTGACTTGTAATCAGCCTTTATCGTTTTCATGCGCTCGAAGTTTCAAAAAGTGAAATGAAATGCTGCGGTACTAGTTTGACATTTTGTGCTCTTTCTAATTTACATAATCCATAATCGGCCCGTGGGCATTACCACTTTTTAATGCCCCGCTCTGATCTCGCTCTTAGCCAATCAGAGCAAGCGTTACATCAGCCACAAGCCTAAGCCATATAAGTGATACAGGCTTCTGCAAACAAGGAGTGGGGGGGGGGGTTGCTTGTTCGAAATCATGTCCTACTAGGGGGTGAGCACTTATTCGTGGGAGGGCGCTTATTAAAGCGTACGGTAATTGTAAATTTGTAGTGTGTGAAGCCAGTTAGTTAATACAGTGTTACCTATTAGCTTTCTGTCCGACGCTCGATAAATTATCGCCGCAGATGCATGTCGTTAACCGCAACGAACACTGAGCGCCAGGTAGGCTATGAGCGTGACTCGCGATGGCAGAAGCAAAGGGCTTAGTTCCCCTGCCGCGGGCCTGCGCGCACCCTGCTCGCTCGAAAAATTCAAATGAATAACGCTTGATTCATTGTGATTTCAAGTCATAAACTGGACGGAATACTGGAAAAGGATAATTGCAATTTTATGTTTGCTCTCCAAGACCTCCTAAGTAAAATGTATAGAATTGTTTCCGTAAGATTGGGAAAGACACATATCTGAGGCAGACATAAAATGAGGGAAAGCCTAATGCGCACATAAAAGTTCAGTTAAATACGATATAAATAGATCGCTTTGACAACTAAATCTTGATTAATTGCTGACTAATTTCTATTACATTAAAACTTACCCTCAGTTTGACTCTTTGCCAGGTTGTTTTAATGGCTACAAAAGCCAAGTTTGTAAAAGATGAGAATGAATTTTTAGTCAGATCTATTCATGGCGTCCTTATTCCTCGAGGGACTGTTTGGACTGAATGTTCACGAGTTGCTTGGACATGCATCAGCATTTAATAAATGAAGGGAAGGGCCCAAATGTATTCAATCGTTTTGTCACATTCCCTACCATGCTTTGGAAAGGAAAGGTTTTCAAAAGAGCTTGGCATCTACATGCAGTAATAAACCATAAATTTTTCTACAATCCTGACAGAGTATTTTGAGGTTTTGAACATATAATTGAAATATGAACGTGTCTGTGGGAGTTTTTCAATTCAATCGTTTTCATTCAAACGATGAGAAACTCAAGA